ACGGCTAGCGCATATAGCCTTTGTATAGCTTCAGAGCTTATAACACAGATAACCCATTGTGTGACATAATGCAAAAGTTGTAAATTTACGAGTTGTTGAAGATGTCTACCAGTATCTTTGCTATTTTATAAACTTTTCGTTGTTTCAGTATCAATCTTCATGTATCATCAGTGTAAAACGTCTGCAAACAAGGTTTCTACTGCGATATCTGGCGCCGCCTATAGTGAGAGACGAGAACTAAAAGTTAATATTTCATAACTCCTATGACCAACCATCATGATTTATTTTATTACAAAATGCTATCCTGGTTTCTTTGTTGGTCCTTCAGTGAGTTAACGATAAGTTCATGGATTTAGAACACTAAAATCTGGGGTTACATTTTCCCCTGGTGGACAAAGCACAGAAAGCTCACTTGTGTAGCTTTGCGTTAAAAATAAAGCAAGCGATTCATGTTTGTTTGTTTGTTTGTTGGATAGTCGCCCAAACCTACTTGAAGGCTCTCTGCGCTAGCCGTCCCTAATTTTGAAGTGAGAGGGAAGGCATTTAGTCAACACCACCTATTGCCAACTTTTGAGCTACTCTTTACCAACAAGTAATGAAGTTGACTGTAACATTATAACGCCCCACGACTAAAAGGATGAGCACGTTTTGCGACGGGTTTCGATCTCGCAACTTGCACCAAGCCAATCCGGTTAGATACCGACACACCTCCAACATCAATCTTATCATCCACTTGTAAACTGTTAGGAAACCTTTTTTTGTCCTATCCTAATTAAATAAAAATATAAAAAACGTTGAAAGATCGCTAAATTAAAAACTAATAACTGATAAACATTAAAGCAAACATAACAATCAAGAAAACTTAAGTCTCAACATCAAAGCCTAACTAAGCTTAGGCAATCTAACGTAATTGTTAATGACAGTTTATGTATGCTAACTGAAAAAAACGGGTACACATACCCCTTCTGCCGTATGTGTTAATTAGGCTACATGAATCTCAACTACTCCTGGACAGAATGAAAATTCATTTATTTTCTTTATTTTTAGTTAGAGAACATGTCAAGAATGAAAAACACGATTCTTATAGTTGAATGAATTATGCATTAATCTCCATCAAGCGTACCCGCGCCATTTATGATTAGTTGTGAATATTGAATAACTCAAGAAAACATACTATCTGTACGACTCCTCTAACACTTATTCATCGTTGTTCTTAATCAGTTTGGGCATACATAAACCGTTATTTAAGCTTACTGTCTTATAATCATACATAAAATATTTTGCATTGTGTATTACGAGTTGTTCATTATTCAAATTATAAGGAATAAATAATAAGAGCATGGCCAGGTGGTTAGGGCGTTCGACTCGCAATCTGCGGGTTCGAATCCCCGTCCCACCAATCATGCTCGCTATTTCAGCCGTGGGGGCGTTATAATGTGATGGTCAATCCCACTATTCGTTGGTAAAAGAGTAGCCCAAGAGTTGGAGGTGGGTGGTGATGACTAGCTGCCTTCCCTCTAGTCTTTCATTGCTAAATTAGGGAGGGCTAACGCAGATAGCCCTCGTGTAGTTTTGCGCGAAATTCATAACAAACCAACTAATAAGGTAACGGTTAATAGCTGACATGTGATAACTTTTCTTCCCAACTTTTGTAAGCTGACTAGAAATTTAATGTACTTGGAAATGACACATAGAAAACACGTCCTTTACAGTGTTTTAAAACGGTTTAACAAGGCAGAATTGTATACCATTGTTTCACGAAATGTCCTTGAGCTCTATTTAGACAAAATAGTTTAGAAGAAATATCCAACAACGTTTACGTCCCTTACTGCTCGAAAATAACCCAAAAAATGTTGTTTTATCGCCACCGTTGTGCTTATAAGCCCTACAGCAACTTCAGCTGAATTACGGAAAAGGAACTACAGAGAGTGGTATAGTTTTACCTTAACGACCGACAGGATGCAATGACAAGAAAGAACAATAGTTACATTACCGACATGTATACAGTTGCGTTTCTATAAATAGACGAATTAAGCATTGTTCAGGAAGAACACGGAACTCTTAAATACTAAGAAGCATGACCGCGAGTCTGTTTGTCACTCTGGAGTCAGACGTTTGAATTGTCATTCTTATGTCACATGGTCATCGGGTACTAGTCGAAAGAAGTACAGCAAATGATTTGATTCTCAGTTTTCCAACAAATATACTCAAACCCGATATGTATACTGTGTTTAAAGTGGCTTGGAAAAGGCGCCGGTACGCACGCATATTTGTAAAATATTGGTGTTTCACCTGACAAAAAACATACGCTATAGTTGCAAAGACACAAAAGCCAAACGTGTTTTCGTGTAAAAGAGCAAATAGATGGGCAGGCCCGCCGACAGGAGGGGGGGGGGGGCATGACCAGGGGCCCGGGCGAATAAAACCTGGTTATGCCGTAAAAGCATCTTTAGGCTATATCTTCATTTAATGATAAAAACCATAGTTTTTGGCTTTTCTTTGCATATAGACGCTTGATACATTAACAAGTCCGAAATAATAATTTGAGTAATAATTAATATGTATTTGTTACTTTATAGATTTAATATATATTTGTTGTTACTTTATTAAAGTTTTCAGGACCTTCTTTTTAATAAATTCTTGAAAATGTTAAAAAAAAAAGAGAGGGGGGGGGGCGGCGAGGATGTTTGCCCCGGGACCCGTGCTGACTCACGACATTCCTGTAGATGTGGGTAAGGTATTTTTCACCAGTGTACATTCTTTTGCCGCTATGTCATATTGCCATTTTTTTCTTAACAGTGTGCATACCGGCGCAAACCGAAGATTTTTGCCAGATTTTTATTAACTTCTCATTATATCTTTGGGCAATGTATAACATATTAGAATATACAGTAAGTGAACATTCACAATGAAATTGATTTTCACTTTTTCATAATCTAGCCCCAATTTTTTCAAAGAAAAATAGTATTTTATCCCAATATATATACAGATAGTTCAGATATTTACTTTAATTTTGTAATATTTCTTCTTTTCTGCTCTTTATTTGTGGCTCGCTTTGTAGAACATAACAAAAGTGGTTTGTAATGCATACACAAGCAGGATCAACTTCCAAAGCTACGGGCCTGGCATAGCCAGGTGGTTAGGGCGCTCGACTCGCAATCTGAGGGTCCCGGGTTCGAATCCCCGTCCCACCAAACATGATCGCCACTTCAGCCGTGGGGGCGTTATAATGTGACGGTCAATCCTACTATTCGTTTGTAAAAGAGTAGCCCAAGAGTTGGCGGTGGGTGGTGATGACTAGCTGCCTTCCCTCTAGTCTTACACTGCTAAATTAGAGACGGCTAGCGCAGATAGCCCTTGTGTAGCTTTGCGCAAAATTCAAAACAAACAAACAACCCAAATCTACAGACACTCACTCACTGAGTGGTATGTCTGAGGACCAACAACGCTAGAAACCTGATTTCGATATTCGTGGTGGACAGAGCACACATGGATCAACTTCCAAAGCTACAGACACTCACTCTGAGCAGTATGTCTGTGGACCTACAACGCTAAAAACTGAATTTCTATATTCGTGGTGGACAGAGTACGCATGGATCAACTTCCAAAGCTACAAGACACTCCTCACTCACTGAGAGCCCACAGGTAGCACTGCCATATGAGTCTGCGAACTTACAATGCTAGAAACCAAACAGAGTATTTGTTTGTTTATGGCAGCTACTAAAAACCAACCAACAAAGAATAGAATTGACCAGGGGCATCATTTGGGGGGCGATTGCCCCCTCCATGCTCGGGTGGGGGGCAAATTACAGGATAACACACATATGCAAATTATGCTATGGAATAGGGGTGCCAGCTGAATTGGTAAAATCCAGAAAATCAAGTGGTCCAACTCAAAGATCATTTAATATGATCTTTCAAAATAAGGAGGGGAATGGCTAACTGCTTAGCTTCAGAGAAGACATCAACAGGGTGCCCCAAATAGATTCATATTATTTTATTTTTCAATATCAGGAAAGAAGGATATCCCTATCTTGGGAATTCAGTGTATGAATATTTTGCCTACGAAAGAATTATTACATATCCTTCCCAAAAGCAATCAATTTTCGATTGAATCACATTACCTATAAAACACTAAATAATGTCAAAATGTTGTTCTGATACATGCCTTTCAACTTCAATTCTAAATCAACTGTGGTTGTCACATGACTTGCTAATTTCCATATTCAAAACTGTGTTCATACAACATACTCAACCTCTGCATACATCTATATAACTACTGATACAGTAGTTGTTAGAGGAAGGGGATCATCTTGCCTTCCTTCTGTAATGTATCCTGTAGATGCCCATGGATCTACTTGGCCCACAAAACCCATACCCCATTATATAAATAACCTTAGGTCTAGTGTACACTATAACAAATACACAGACACTGTAACCACATACTGGTTCCAATAATTATATAGCACACACAGATAACAACAAAATGTATAGGGTATAGAAAGGGAAGTCATAGTTTATAAGTTGGAAAATGTTTGTAACTTAATGAAAACCTAAAAGATGTGAGGTTATTTATTTATGTTAAAAAAGCCTAACTTTTAAAAACTTGATATTGTCAGTTCTACATAAAACACATATTTGAACAGAGAAATGTGGAAAAAAAATTCAAATACTATATACAGTCTTGCTAAACTAAATCATATAGTTTAGTACATACACAGTGCATCAATTACCATTATAACAAAATTCTGAGAAAATATAAATTAAGCAAAAAATAACAGAAAAAAAATCTAGAAAACATACATTATTCATTTATAAATTATAACTACAGCTGTTTAAAATAAACCGGCAGTTAATCATCCTTAGCTTTGTGTTTTATTCAAGTAGATGGACTTCCCGTAGAGCAAAGAGGTAGAGTCCACTAACATAGGGCTTAAAGAATATCATGTCCTTGAATACCAACTGAATTTGTCAACAAAGAAGGAATCAACACAGAAAAATATAAACCACAATCTTTAAAAAACAAACACAATCCAAGTACTAAAACAAAACAAGCGCAAGTGTTTGCTATGGGTTAAATGGACTGGCAAGAAAAGGAGATTTGAAATAAATAATTTTAATGGCTCTCTCTCTCTCTCTCACCAGTTCCATGTCAGCCCCCCCCCCCCCCCCCCCCCCCCCCCCCCCAATAAGCTAAAGAAAACAGAGGAAAGTTAAACTCCAAAATGATACACATTACATGCTCTGTTGACAGAAAAGTCAGCTATTTCGGAACATCAAACTCTTTGCAAACGAAGTCACAGCTATCTTTCCAGCAAGAGAACCAATCAGTAGAGCCTATTCCCATGTATGGTTAGAGAAAGGAAAAGTTGAGTTGTTTACTTCAGCAACTCTTTGCTTCCAAATTGAATGAAAGGTAATAGGAATTTTGAAAAATTTATATCAAGTAAGGAAGTAGCAAACACACAGTAATTTTTCTGTAACTCAGTTTTCATAAATAATGAAGAGGGATGGAGGAATGTTATTTATTTTTACAGATTTTCTTGCTTTCAGATTTTCAATTGTACAATTCCACTATGGAAAGAATAAAATTATGGGATATCTGTGACAAATCTTGGGCCATGAGAGAATTAAAGAAATAATGTTTTTTTGGTGGTGGTTTCAAGTATGGATTGGGAGGGATGACTAAATAGCAATCTGTTTAATTTGCCTAAAGTGATATCCAAGGTACATATTCCAATAATAGGTCTTAAAGCAGAATGAGTTGTTACACCTAGTTTGTGTGTGTATATATCATTAACAGTGACAGAGAAGCAAGCTCTAAAGCATCTGAATATTCTTATCAGTTGTTGGGTCCACTTATTAATCTTTAGAATTAATGTGCAAGCATTGCATCAGTAAACTATAATTGGTTTATGGTGCTGTTTGTAAATTCTTGTAATATGTTTTATCACAAAGTTAATTGTACAATTAACAACGGGCATTTTAAGAAAATGCCTCTATTGGTAAAAGAAATAGTTGCCCAGGACAGACATTACTTCAGTCAATTAATGACTCATAGTGTTCTTACCTTCACCTTTAGTATATAACACAGAAAACAACAAAAAATACAAGTGAAATGTGGTATTGACCTTTTAAGAGAAGATCTCTCCCTCAATCAGAGGCAATGTTTTTGGGTGGCAGAGCAAAGAATGATAAATTCTGATAACTACTTCTTTGAGGTGTTTCATATACCAATGGAAAGTCTGGAACTTGCTGTATTCAAATTTGTGATCCATATTTCAATCAGGAGTTATGACACAGGATTTCAGAGTGGCCACAACACATTATCAGCAACAGTCACACACAAGTTTATTATGTGTTTTTTTATTCTTAAATCAAATTATATGAACTTTTTTTTTTATAAGACCTTCTTCTTGGTCTTCTAATCTGGCAGAAAATTACTACCTCTATCACTACTGTACTCGTCAGCACTCAGACCTATTTTGGAATGTTGCCACATCATTTTGGGAGTAGATAGATGGATTTGTGTAAACAAGGGCTGTCATAAAGAACATCATGGTTACACCTAAAGCAACTACACATGTTGCATGCTGAACTTCTCAGAACCTTGCACATACACGCAATTGAGGAAATAATGATGATTGATGACAACATTTTACAAAGTAACAAATGTTTAGTCACAGCCGGGAGGGCTTAGAGCTATCTGTTGAATATCTATTTGGCTCTAGTATGAAAAACAGATGCAATGAAAAGCATAGAATAAGAAAGCTCACATAGCAGACCTATCGGTTACAAAACAAGAAGTACTGTCATTAACTATGGGGGTTTCTACTGACTATGTGGCCAGTTGTAACTCTGTAAATTTTAGTCCAACTTGAAAACTGTAATCACTATATCTCAGCACATGCTACATTCTAAGCAGGTTTCACCAAAATCACGTAAATCCTGGATGTTTTACATCCAATTCCTACCACTGAGGTGTCTCTAGTTGATGGAAAGATACTATGTTAAAGTTAGTTCTCACATAGATATTAGTTCATAATGATACTGTTTTGTTTTATGATTGCCAAAACAATTATTTTGAATTAAGTTGTTCACAAACTAAACATAATAACAGAGCTGTTGTATTAATGCTTACGTAGACTTGACAACAAGGTGCTTCTTGATATGTGATTGTTAAAGGGGAAAAGAAACACTAACTTAATTTGATATTTAGAAACTGTTTTCTTTCCATAAAGATTCCTCCAAAATATTTTTCAACAACTGTAAGCAGAAGCCACCTTGACTTGTTTAATATTGGATACAACAGCACAGACTGGGCTTGGATCTTCAATGGCTGCATGACCTAAATCAGAAATAAATATATTTTTTATACTTAAGAAAACTTGTCAAAATATCAAACCAATATACATTTATTCCTGACAATATAGCAGATACTCACAATAACTGTGATAATTAGTGTTTTGGTATTCAACAACTAATTATGATTAACTATTCTCTAAGCCTATTCCACACCAAATATCCATTTCAATTTCACTCAGACTTTAGAAATATTAACTAAGCAATAATAAAGTAAAAATAGTATTTATACTACTAATCTTTTCTGTATTAGACCACTGAGGTGGCAATGAAGATTGCTTAAGACATCGTAGTTGTCCATTTTTTATCAGTGTTAAAACATTCTTTAAAATGTTGTGAGCATAACATTTTCACCTTGAGATTTCATCCTATGTCACAATGTATGACATTTACCCAAATGTTTTAAGCTTTAAATCTTGAGGAAGCCTGTGCCAATACATTTTCCCTTTCATTTTCTTGCAATAGAAATTCATGCAGAACAGTACATACCAATTGCACCTTCCCATAGCAAAAACAATGTTGTTGCTGACTATAGTAATTATTATATGATAAATAAAGTGAACTGTTATGAGCACCTGAAAATAACCAATGTACATCATCTCCATATGATGGTTCAAAAACATCCACCAGGATCGTTTTGGGGATTTGTAAGATGATTTGTACTGCTAAGTTAGAGTAGTTTTCACTTACCTGACTGGCATTCTCAGTTAGAAAGTCTGTAATATTGTCATTTCATTGACTGCTTGTTCACAATATACTTTTTCTTCTTGCAAGTACTACATTGTTCCTGAAGGTAGCACATGCTCATAAAATAACATATCATATGTAGCAGTTAGACAATAAAAACAAATTACAGTAAATGAAACAACATAAGACTGAAGAGAACACACAAATGTGTCAAAACTAGTGCTATTTTCAATAGGAATCACATGTGCACAATATTTTATGAAGGCTACAATCTTGGATAAATGGTGCAATTCGATTGGCTGTTGCCATGGCTTAGCAAAGTGAAGTTGCTAATTTTTCAAGGTATATTTCCAACTGATGTGCAAGTGAACAATTGGGATCGTTGACGATTTAGAGAGAAAATCATAAAGTACATTTAGTAAGAACATTAAGTTGTTCCACCAAATTTGCTATGAAAAATCAATTTATAAAAATTGGCCCATGGCCTATAAGTAATAATTAACAACCTTGCAAGTATGTGTTTGATTTGATACCTTAAATAATTACAAGATTAAAATATAGATCTAATTTTTAATTAACTAGTGCCAACAATTCTTATCACAATTCATAAACTATTAGTGATAATCACATTCAGTGACTAAGATTTATCACAGCTATAAACTCGAGTCCAAACTCCTTGATCATTCTTCTTGTAAAGATGTGGTTGGTTATCAGGAAAAACAGAAACCAGTGGAAATGGGTGTTCTTTGATAAAAGTTAATGTGTTCCTTACTTCTTGTGCAAAGTGTGGTGGTTCCACTGAAGGTGATGTTGACATGTGCTGAAATAATAAATAACATTGAAACTAAGCCCTTCATTAATCAAGCAAAAATAATCACTTTATTTATATGCTATGATTTTACGGTTTTAGCCAGTTATAGTTTAGTTAATAAAGAAACAAGTGTAAAAAAGAAACATGACTAATCGTACTTGTCACAATCCTTACAAATACTGTCATTATTGCACTGACAAGTATAAAACAAAGTTTTAAATAAAAAAATATCAAATTTAAATTCAACACCACAAATGTTACTCCAATCCTGGTGTTTAAGCCTGGTCCTCAAACTAATATCCATTTGGTGATCCAGAAAACAATCGTAAACATTATCTGCTTTGTGCTACCTATCAATAATGAAAACAATTAGCTTCTAGTCAAAATTGCATTCACAGCCTCTACAGGATTATCAAATCAGTTTAAGTAGTTGCCCTTCTTGGGTTATATAAATGAGTGATTTTCATTATCAATTTGCATCATCCATCCATCAAAACACCCTTTAAAGTTGTATGTTTAAAATTAAGTCACAAATATGAATAATATACATTAAGATATGTCATAATATTTGTTCATATAATTTTGCCATATGAAGACAAATCTTGTTTCATATTAAAGTTTTTTTAACTATATAAAATCAACCATGCTATGAGATTTACTCAAGAAAAAAAAATATTCATGTAAGAAGGTTTAACAATATTTTAAAAATGAATAATTTTACCTAAAATGAATCTAGGTCCATAAGAATAGCTGGTTTCAAAAAATAAAAATCAGTTCTCCCAAGAAAAACAACAAAATACCAACATCAAGTATTGATCCACTAATAAGTTCACAAACCCCATTATGCAATGAGGGTACAAATTACATTTGTATTTTAATGTATTTTAGTTCTTTTTTGTTAGTTAGTTAGTTTTAGTGGAATGAGGATATTTTAAAATGTCCTTTACATCTCTTTCACGTAAGTTCATTTACATTTTACACCAGCCTTTAATGTTCATTTCTGAAGCATGAAATTGTACAAACAATGTAAGTGACTATACGCTAGCCCCAAAAGTAACTTAACATTGCATGTGGAATTATATCATTAAAATAAAAAATGTGAATTGCAGTACTTAAATCTGTGCTGTGATCCTGTAGTTACACACTAAGTCCTTGTTATAGAAACATGTTTCTTGACTAGTAAATTATCTGGGTGCACTTGATATTTCAACTGACAACTGTTTAGAAGCCGAATAACACATAGTTGAAAGACAAATGTACTTAGATCACATTTTTATTCATTTTACAGGTTACTTGATGGATAAAATGACAAATTATTAAGTAGTTAAAAAAAAAGAATTTTCTGATTTCAGGAATACTCATTTTATTTATACAGTCTTTTTGTTTAGTATTTAACAGTGAGATAATATACCACCAAATCTACTCAACTTTGTAAAGCAATTCATTAAAATCTTGCTTTAATTGTTTCTTGAAAATGCAAGTACTGTTTCATTTCATAACTTCTCAAAAAATTAAATTAGTTTAGTAGTAAAAAAAGGAAATACATTTCAACGACATGTCATTTTGATATCTTACTAATACCAACTTACCTGTATATTTAGAAAAATAAAATGCTACACTAGTGCATTTTTTTAGAATATTGCACTACATAGTATTTTACTCTTGTACAATGGCCCCCACTCAAAATTATATTTCAAAAGGAATTTTTACTTTATACATTCTTTGTTTTTAGAATAATAATATACTATTTTAGTATTCATTCCTGAACTTTATTTCTTACTGAGTTTACTTACAGTTTGCAGAAACTGATCTTTTTGAACCAGCAAAAAGTCGATTTCAGGTATTAGCCTATAGTTAAAAGGTCCAATGATCAGCAAGCCACTTGTGGATCGATATATGCACACCATCTATAACAAGAAAATATTATGTTTATTTCAATTCTTTCTTTGCTGCTAAACCTCATTTAAAACTAAAAATATTAATTTAATGCTACAAGTCATTTAACCAACAGCTACGTTGTCAAATAAATTAATTAGATAAACACCTTATCTGAACTGAATTTAAAAGTTTATGATAAATTTTTCCTAAAACACACAAACTTACCCCTTCTTTGTCACATCTTGTAAAATGCCTACTTGATCTAAGCGATATGGCAGGTCCTCTGTCAGGGAAGGAAGCAGGAAACAACTCTCCATTTTTTATGTTTATACCTGAAGGTGAATTAAAATCATATTTCGTTTTTATCATAATTAGTTGTTATAATTACAAAATCACATCATCATACATACATATCAACTCTCTTGATACAGGTAGGTCAAAGTGAGCTTGTCAAGTTTGTATTGAGTTACATTAAAAATTTAATTAACTTTCTTTATTGTAAATTTATATAAAGAAGTTTGGCATCAAACATATCTAATAAATAAACTTTTAATGTAACTTTTAACTTCTTAATTTCAAAAGAAAATATTTAAATAAATTCTCAATCTCCCTTGTCTGTGTAACAGGACATTTGTTTGCTTTGACTTACTGATTTTCTATTTTGTCATTATCCCTCTATGACATTTTGATTTTAACTTAAATTACTCAAATATTACTAAAACATAGTCTAATTTTTATAGCCTTCTATCTTCTTTGTTTACAGTTATAAACCAGAAAGTCAGACCCATTTTCCATGCCCATCTTCTCTTTCACAAATTGCCAATAATTCTCTTCAACATTTGCTATTAGATCACTTACAACCAACAGAGAGAAAAGTTATAAATTAGTAAATGACACATAATGCTACATTGTTCTTAGCAGAGATTTTTAGATATTACACCTACAGAATAAAAGTTGCTATTGCTGAGTTCAGATCAAGAAGCTGTGGGAAGTATTTTAAAGCATTTATGCCTTATTTAGAAAGCCAGTTATATTATATTAGTTATAGAACATTGTTTGCTTTGTGTGTTTATAATTTTGTGCACACTTGAAACAAATAAATATTATTTGATGTTCTAGTACCATCATTAAAAAAAAATGTAGGCTTAAGTTTCATCAGCAGGCCGACAACAATACGACAAGAGGACACGTGCAAGTATTAAATTTTTGTTTTTTTATGTATTTATGTTTTTATTTATTGTTATAAAAGTAACTAAACTGTAAAAATCAAAAACTTATCAGGTTAGATATAATTAGATTATAAAATATATAAATATTTCTCCACGAGGTATGCTTTGCAACTAGCTCACATGTAGCTCAAGCATTACATCATTCAATACCATAATTTAAGCTATGCGTTTGCTGTGTGATTTACAGCTTGTATTGTGGGATTATTAGTTAGGCATAGTTTAAAAAGCAGTAAAAACAATAAAATTAAATAAAAGCAGATGCAAACTGTTTCAAGCCTTTTCTGTTACAATCTACAGTTATTCTAGAAAGAAAAAGGGGTAATTTAAATTTATTTTGTATTTGTTTTTTAGTGGTTGCAAGGTTGGTCAAATCAACCAAGTCTATATAGTGTCAGGGTAGAGAAAATAACAGATAAAATATATTTTTACTGAAAAAAGCTTAATATTCAATTAAGTGGTTTCAGAGGTAATGCAAATAAAATTTAAAACAGTAAGAAAGATAAAAAGTATATCTCAACAAAAAAATCACTTTTTATTCAGACTAGCCAGTCTTGAGTTAATATCTAGTATCAGTCAGCACGTTGGCTGCTGCCTTATAATATATTAATCCACATTCCGGTGCCAACTGCAATTCAAACCTCTATGAAATATTTTTTCATGAAGTAAATTTTTTTGTTTCTTTTGGATTTGCAAAAGTTTTTCAAAACAATTTTTTTTATTTTTTGCCAATTTCAAAGTATTATATAATTTTCTCATTGAAAAATGCATTATTTTTGACTATGTTGGTTACGGTATAAAAGATACTGTTATTTTGCTTTCATTTCCAAATTTATTGTGTTTCGTGAAAGGCAGCAAAATCACAATGTTATTACATAAATGAGAACATCCCTAAAGTGCCAAGAAGCAATCACAATATCCTAGAGTCAAATGCCACAATGAAACTTTATATTTGCAATATTATGGTCTGTAAACCACTGGAGGGTCACATGACAGCCAACATGATAAATTATGCATTTGTAGAATTAAATACAGAAAAATACAGTCTGTAACTGATACTGATTACAAGTTTGTTTACAACAATCACAATTTACATTAAACAGTAAACTACCTAAATGTAATAAAGGTTCATATTGATTATACTTAAAAATTAACTGTCAAAAAACATCTACAAAAATATTTTAACGAATATTAAACAAAGCATTTAGACATCTGAAGCAGGTTCATCAACATTCAATGTTTATTTTTTATTAACCATTGTATTAGGTCGTCAATAAATTAATGTCGCTTTCTTTAGATGAAAAAACCAGAACAACTTATATATCAAAACAAAACATTTATTAAACAAAATAATCTCCATTCTTATCAATGATGCTTTTCCATCTTACAATCAGTTTGTTAATGCCCTGATTAAAGAAATCACTTGGCTTTGAAGCAAAAAAAAATGTTGATGTCCTCTTTAACATCTTCCACACTTGCGTATATTTTCCCATTAAGATGGTGTTGCAGCAAACGAAAAAGATGGTAATCTGATGATGCCATATCTGGAGACTATGGTGGGTGGGGGGAGAACTTCCCAACCCAACTCCATAATCTTGTGTTGCGTCAAACATGCTACATGTGAATGTGCATTTTCATGGAGAAGAACACCTTTCTGATTGACGAGTGAAGGCCGTTTCTGATGAAGGGCTTGATTTAAATGTTCCAGTTGCTGACTATCGATCTTACATTGAAAGTTCATTGTGGATTGAGGAGTTTGAAATGAATTACTCCTTTGATGTCCCACCAAATGCAAAGCACCACTTTCTGCAGATGGAGTTTAGTTTTCGGGGCTGAAAGTGGTTTTTGTCTGGGACTGAGCCATTGTTTCTGGCATTTAATACTTACATAGAGAATCCATTTTTCATGGGCGGGGACAATTCTGTCCAAAAATGGTTCACACGTAGAAG